ATTTTCCTTTTAAATGTGGGTCACTCATAGCTGATGCTATGGAAATAGAAATCAGTGTACCGATCATTGGCTGGAAACAGTTCAACTAGAATTGGCGCAGTCATTTAAGTGTAAGGAGGACCAAATGCAACAGTTCTTGCAGATCTACAGAGTCGTGTTCATTTAACTAATAAATTCATTCTAAATTTATTAAATAATAAGCTCCATCATTGTCTGTTAAGCGTCATACGTCACATTCATATCATGTGCATAACCATAGTCGACTAGGACAGCGAGGTACGCACTGTCGGTATCATCAAAGCCAATCGACTGCCAATGTATAGACGATTGATGATGTTGCTGTAGTTAACACTAATTTAGCCGCTGAGTCATCGCCCGTTTAATTACAAATAAATCCTTGTCATTGTTACGACATGCAATGATAAGGATTTCGTTAGACACACGCGTGGAGGCGAATTACATGCTCAACGACAAACGGTCATGAAATAGGACAAAATTGTTCATCCTTGTATAGTCCACGTTTACGTACATATGAAACGTCCGTCGATGGATCTTCGGGATACTGATAGCAGGGTGACCTGAGAAGCGGCCTTGTGAACTAGAGGAATTTTTGACCTGAAATTTGCGCTAGCTGTTGATTAGGACTTTGAATGCCGTTTGCTATCGACTAGTCGACTACTCATTAGGGTGCCTTAAGCGAACCTCATAACAATGCAGCATCATTATCGTCATGATGCGTTCCTTCATGAGGCTAACCTGTCCAATGTGGATAATTTGACAAAATCTTATCGATTAATCCTAAATCTTAGGAGCAATGCTCCAACTATTGCGATGGCTCTGCACCTTCTACCTCCATTATGAATGCTATCTGTGCATCTTTATTTCAATCTAACGCTCGACTTCCAACTGTCAGACTTTTTGAATATGGCCTACTTTACTGTCTGAGCTCCATTGGACCCAGACGACGATTTCACAGCAACATTTTAATAGCAATTAAGTTATTGCCTTGGTCTACATTTCGACGGCATTGATAAAGTAAAAGGAACCATTTTGGTCATTGTAATATTGGCATCTTGTACCCTTCCGCAATTTGTAACATCTTTTTCATATACGCTTAGTGCAGAGCTCATTTTCATCGCGACGGTGTCAACCAAAAGCATCATATTGTTTTTACGGCAATGTCTACAGTCTGCTATCTGATGTCCCTTGTCCTTTTACATAACGCTACCTCGTTTTATTGAAAGAAGAGTAACGCGGCTGAGCTTTGAAGCCATGACCTTCAGGTTGTCAGTTGATCATTCTGCCGATTA